ACAGTATGAACAAGTATCGCGATGAAAGTGTTGTCGCCAGAACCTGGCTTAAGAAAATAAGAAAGGCGGGCGACACCTCGCTAACCCGGATCCATCTTTTATTGTCATGGAGCTTTGGGCTGGTCACCTGCGTACCAGACCCGAACCAAAAGAGTACACAAGCATGGTAGTGCAAGCGAGATTCCCTGTTAAACAGAGTCCGTTTACGGAGCAGCCTCCCGACTACTCCGTACCCTGGCACGCACGAGCCTTTCTCCAAATCCTACTTACCAGGCAAAGACTAAACACGTCCGATATCTGGCTTCTCAATAGAAACCAGAGAGATCGGCAAACAGTCTTTAGTGTGCAGACCCACTGCCCGTACCATAGGTACAGACCCACTGCCCGTACCCCAAGTCTGTGTAGAGAATCAACGAGCAAAATAAATTAATAATAACTTGGTATGCACAATGGATGGTCACAATTTAAGTCTATTAATAGATAGACTAAAATTAATAATAAACGATGTGATGATGAATATGAATATAACAATGAATATCGAATTATGATTTAAGTTTAACTTACAGTAACATAACGCAGTGGTAAACGCTTTGAGGATGTAGACTTTGATCGATGTCTTCTTTCGATGGAATAACTGTTTGGAAAAATATTTTTCATTATACAATACACATAGAATACATAATATGCACAGTAAATAAATCACATCAAGTACAATTGTTCTCGAACATCTGTAACATACAAGGGATTAGTAACAAGAGAAGGGACACAACAATATGCACAGTAAAAAAATTGATGGTTGTCGAATGCCTGCAACAAACAATGGGTTAGTAACAAGAGAAATGACGAGTATGCATTATTATGCAACAGCTAGTTTCTTTGTTATGTTTGTTCGAGTTGAATTGTTTTTGCCGGCTTGAACGACCTTCCTCCCTGAACGACCCAAACACCGAATGGTACGGCTATGGTACACGGCGTACACGGCTAGTTCAATAAACTGTGACGAAACGTCACTAACGCGTTGGACTAAATAAAAATATTGTTACATTTCATTCTAAGTACATGCAAAAACTAATTCTTTTTAATTATTTTTGGATTCGAATTGAAATATTCATAGAAATAAGATGCGAATCATCTTTCGGTATAAATTCGTAGTAAAATTAACTGTAAAACGATTTATTTAGACAAAAAATACTTTTTAATACTAATAGATACGTTCAAATTTAAAAAGAAAATTTTCATTTTTATCTGTATCCTTATTCGAAGATTTATTCGAAGGCTTGAAACAATTTCGCCGTGTATCGTGATGGCATTCTTTTTGTGCTTGTTTTCAACCCATTTTTATATCCCCATCTCAAGAGACTTTTTATATATTATTATACACACAAATGTGTACACAATTGTTTTCTTACAGGTAACAAACTATTATATTTTGCTGCACCAATAACATAGTCTGATTACATTTGTGTTGCTGTAAATATTAAGAATGCGTATTTAGATGGAAACGATTTGAGGAAAACGTATTGTATATTTCATAGAATAGAAGATACACTGGTTACATAAAAACATTTATAAACTTCGTTGAGAAATCAAAAATCATGTACTAAAAATTTTCCATACCAATTTGAGTATGTTCGAAGTTTATTGCTGCTTCTAGCTTTGGAACTAATGGCACAAGCGATGTTCGTTAAAAGACTACCACTCCAGTATAAATATGTTTACATTTTCTTCATATATGCCTTTACATAGATTTCATAATAAATCTCATTGTTTTAGGATCCAGAAAAACAAATATTTGTATTCAAATGATTTTTCAACTGAGAAATGATTTCTTGGTAAATACACTTAAATGTATTATGTGTAAAATAAATTTTTAATTACTATTAAAATAATATGCTACAAGAAACAAGAGCAACTTATACATTTCTACTAATCAAGCTGAAACAATTTCCTCTTCCTATAATAGATATCATAAAAGTGGTTGCAGATTCGTGGTTGAGATCGAGAACCTGGGCCGCATCGGTAATTAACCATAAATGATCACAAACGCGTGAAAGCTTAGGAAAGGGACAAGTAAATTTATATGCTAGAAATTTCGTAAATTTTGTAAAATATTTAGCATTTATGAAAAACATATAATAATTTATTCACAAAGGCTAGAAACATTGATTGTAGTCAGCTTCAAAAATGCGCCGTGTAACCCGGTAGTCTAAAAAAGTTTAGGTGAATTTGTAAGATGAAATATAGAAAAGTTTCTGCCGATATTTACTGCACATATTCGCATTATGAAATAAATTAGCATAAAGAGACATGTACACAATGTATAATCTGTTCTCAATATCGAGTCACTATACGTTACTGCGTATGCAAATGTTAATACATACATACGCAATCAGTTTGCAATATTTATATGCAAGGATTCTAACCAAATCTATTTATGTATACGAATATATATCTATATAATAGTGCAAGACATTTTATTATGAAATAGAACATTTTAATATAACATTTTTGCACGGAAAAATTATCATGTCATTGTATTTTGTCATCTTATTTGTTGTACACTTGACAGACTTAACTAATATAAGTTGAAATAAGTTAATTTAATTTCAAGGGCATCAATGATTGCATCGTTATATGATGTAAATTTAGAATTTTCGAGAGGAATTTAATAGACATGGCTGCAGGTCGGTTGTAATCATTTTAGAAAAAACCTGTGTTAGCTTCATTAAGTACGAGGCTGGGAATAATTGCCATAATCATTATTTGTGATGTGAACATTGCAGTTGTGACGTGTTCATGTTTGTAAATAATACACTGATGTTTCTATAGACATAATTAATGTATATAAAGCCAAATGGCTTTCGAAGAAACTGACTTATTTAATTTTTTACCTATTATTCGTATAAAATCATGGTGATTTCAGATTATAATATTTATTCTATGAATTTCGTGAAATTATTTTAATGGAAATGAATCATATAACAGTTTATGAAAGCGGCGAATAAAGAATCTATAATTAAACTACTGGCCCATTTAGATAACATAAATGGCATTCATATTCAAGAAGGTCATTCTTTATTATTGACTTATCAGTTATACATTTAAAGTACAGTAATCTATATCTTAGGTTGGTACAGTAACAAAAAAATATTTCACGCAAATTTATCCGTATAATCTAAAAATATGTTACCTGAATACAATTTTTTCTGTTTATTAGAAACTATTTTAGATCGTGAATTGTTTTCTAATTAAAAACTTCTAATTACGAAGGATTTCGAACATTTGAGATGATACAATAATATTACATGTCAGGACAGGTCAAACCGAAAGTGTTACGATAATTTCTGTATTACAGATTCCATACATAGTAATTAAGATTACTAAGTATGAAAGACATGTAATTTATACTACAAGTACAAGACAACGTTAAGTAATAAGCAAACAAATTGGATTCTATATAATTTAGTGTTCACTTTATTTTGTATTATATTACACATCAGCACTTTAGAAAAGATCCATGGTAATATAAGAGATCAACTGTGAAGAGGGAATCATATTCATTAATGTTTTCTGCACTCTACTATTCAAAATTATCTTTCATGTTGAAATTGTGTTTATGCAGTTTATAAAGAACTACATGGAGAAGAGAAAGGCAGAAAAAAAGTGAATACTTACATAAATCTGTAAGCTGTAACAAACTTTCAGTTCTTTGAATTTCTAAAATGAACTCACATTTCTAAATATTCAATTTTTCTATAATAAACTTATACTATGTACATCTATTTACCATTCCCTGATTTACAAACAATAAGGATAATATTTTTTATTCGGTAACACTATGATAATTAAATAGATAACATATACTTTACTACTGTCACTAGTCAAATTACTCCAATTTCGCTTATAATCTTACATTGATTCCATTAATGACTAGTAGAAGTACAAATTGAAATAAATATCAAGAAGTTCGAAGAATAATATGCAATAACAAGTGTATTTACATTTATTACATGCACTATTGATGCATTTATTTCAACAATCACAGAATAAAGTTCTGTGACATGTTATTTTCTTTCTGTATCATGTGCAAACATGAAAGGATTCCTATGTCGTGTATATAAGGTTTCTTTTATGAAAAACCAATGTTACATATTAAGTATGATTTTATTTAATCTATTTTTCTATCTACAATGCCAATTCTCCTCATACTACACATCATTCATTCGTTTAAAAATGTACAGAGTATTTATAAAATATACAGGAACGTGTCACCATATTCGTTCGCTTCAGTGTGACTATTGGCAAAATCGAACTCTCTTTGTGACAGAAATTCCTTACTACAGAAGCTTCTTTTGAGCTTTCATCAAAATAACATCGTCCGAAAAACTTCCACCTAAGTTCTATGATTTATGTTAGTATATTATAAAATCCTATGCGTTGTATCTACAAGGCGCGTGCATAAAGTCATGTTCACATTGTAAAAAAAATTATACGTCTAATTTTTTTTTTAAATAGTTTCAACGCTTACAAGTTGTTTCAGAAGCATTAAACACAACGACTAGAACTTCCTTGAGCCGGATATGATTTCTTGATAAAGTTCAGGCGTGATTTCAACGTACTCCTTGTTCCCAGAAAGGAAATACATCTTGTCTTGCACTTTGCTTGGATCGAAACCTTCTTTTTGAAGATTTATCTTTTTCAATTTAAATGTTCCCGTCATTTCAAGTTCTTTCACAATTCGTAAGAAAATTGGTCTCGCGTAAGCTGGCAGAGCTTTCTCCAAGCCTTCCGCAAGGGCCTTGAAATCTAGTAAACTATCTGGATCGACTATTGCTGCCATACCTGCCCTTCCTTCCATTCCAGGGACCTTAAAGAGCGTTAACAATTACTTTGTAATAATTTTGTTAGACTAAAAAATGAACTTAATAAATTCTGATGCAGTCTTGTCAGTGAATTTTTACACGAGTTAATGTAAACATGAATCTGCTAATGTGAAAGATTTTTCATTGAGATTAACAAGTTTAGGGGATGAACTTATATACTGAAAAACAATGAAATTAAATAGATTATTAGTTTTATGTTCGGAAAGTTACAAACCTGAACCCCATAGACAGTAGCATCCCGCTGTCCAGCAATATTACTAATAACACCCTCTACCTCTGCAGTAGCAACATTTTCACCTTTCCACCTAAATGTATCTCCTACTCTATCTTTAAAGTAAATGTAACCATATTCGTCTTGTATTAATATGTCACCTGTCCAGAAAAAAATAGAAATCACATTGAAGCAGAAGAAATTTTGATTGTATTAAATTCTTTGGCTGTAAAACTTTCGACCTATGTAGTTTATTATATTAAATGTTCTCTGTTTTGCTCCAGTCAATCTCTGTGAATGCAACTTACCCGTCAGGAAAGCCTTATCGCCTTTGATAAACACGTTCTCTATTATCTTCTTTTTCGATGCTTCTTTGTCTAAATATCCGTTGAACTCCCTCGACGCGTTCCCTTCTTTTATTAATCCTATAAACATCCCTGGTTCATCTAAGTGATCAATGAATTTTATTTACCATGATGGATAAACTTTTGTCGCGGTTAATATATTAATATCGTTATATTGTTACTAGAGTCTTACTTATGTCTGCTCTTATGCACAAGCCATTAGGTCCTCTAACCGGTTCGTATGTCTCATTATTTACTCGAATAATGGCCACAGGATGAAATGATCTGGGCACAATCAGTGGTACACAGCCAACAGCACCGGCTCGGCCATCCAAGTTTACTGTGTTACATAAATATACAAGTTAGTCAAAAAAAAATCGCGTTCTAATTTGAGAGAATTGCCCTTTTGATTGAAAAGAACCAGTTGAACATTTGAAATTACGTAAATTTTCCATGCCCATAGAAGTACAAATTTATTTTATGAAAATTACTTCTATTTACATTTTCATATAGTTTTTCATGTTTTACGTTAAATTATTGAACAAAATGATTTAAATAAAGCAATTAGCTATTCAAAGTTATTTGTGCATCAAATTCGTTAAAAGAATCAATTAAGTTTATTTTACCTATAGCTAAAGCAAAAGCTACCTTTTGTCGCCATACCAGAGTCCAAAGTGTGTAGGTCGAATATTTTGCTTATTGTAATGGTTGAAGACAAAGAGAATACGAATAAAATGTGCTACTAATAACAAGTATTAAAAGTTGTTTACAAAATTATTTCATATGATGAAATTAAATGTATAGATAGTAATTGGTGTACACGTGTAAAAAGTTATGATGATTTATGTGTATAAAAAGAGAAAACTACGAGTTACTTTAACAAAATTTGTTACGAACATTCAGAAATATCGTTAAAAAATGTTAATTTATTTTGTTTATCTTTGGTGAAGTTAAAATATGGATGTTTACCAATATTAGCGTTTCCTTCACTCGAACCGTAGAATTCGGTAATCCGATTGATGTTGAAGCGTTTAACAAATTCACTCCAAATCTGTGGCCTCATGCCATTTCCAAACATGAGTCTTAGTCTATGAGCGGTATCTTCTGGCCGGTGTGGTGCATTCAATAAATAACGACACATTTCCCCAATATACTGCGATACCTACAAATAAAACAAAATTCTATTTCGTTGGACAAGTCTTCTCACATTTAAATTAATTTACTCTATTACTTAATCCCTATTCTAGACAGTGCACTAATTTTTAGTAAGCATGGATTTTATTTAAATGCGTATCCGTACAACAGAAACACACTGACACGTAATCGTGTGAACATGGTGATAATTAATGAATAATGAATCTACAATGAGAAATATTTTAGCAATATTAACGATATCAGTGAATTAATGAAAAAATTTTGTTAATGCACAAATAAAGGATACAGTTATCAATTCTTATTTGTTAAAAATATATTGATTATGAACACTATTTTACATAATTTTTTAAGCATCCGTCTGTTATTTGTATTACTATTGGGTTTGTAATGAGAATGGCAAGCTTCGTACACGTGTATGAGTAAGATTAATTTCTGAGATTAATTACTGAGATCGTTACAAAGTGTATAGACATCGAAAAGCCACCTACGGTACAATTATATTTGATGCAATCTGTCCAATAAGCCGTCACTGAAAACTTGGCCCTTAAGACTGTTGGTATACCATTCAAAATCGCGAAACCTACTCCTAACATTCCACCGGCCGTGTGGTACAGTGGATTCGGATTATACAAGGTATCGTTCGATTTCAACCCTAGCAAGTTAAATGGCATTACGACCAGCAAGAACCTGGAAACGAACAATTCATTTTTATCAATAGTTATTAGTACCCACCATTATGCGTTACAATTAATCATTATTATATTATTCATTGTGAATTCAATTAGCAATAATTAAAATGAAGTCATTTGATCCGTTGTCAGAACAACTAGACACACTATAGTTGAATTATAATATGTTTTATGAATTTATTATAAAATTTGTATCCCTTATTCGTCAACCAATTGTGTTATTTAGACATTTCAAATAAACAATTCAAATGATCTTTACTTGGATAACTTTCTTGAATTGTATTTTGTAAATATGTTTTATCATTTCCTTATCTTTGTCAGTTGTATAAATGCAATTTATAATAAATTGTAATGAAAGTTCATAGAGATGGGAATTACGATATTTTATTAGTAAAACAGTCATAATGCAGGCAGACAGGAAGCAGTCGCAAAAGCGACTACATTTACATGTAATCCCATTCTCGACGAGTCGTAAGGCTTTCCTGAGAGGATTATAGATCATTTATACGTTCAGCAGAGAGATAATTCATTCTGCTCACGGAATAGTGTCTAGGAATTCATGAAAGTTTAAAATCCACTCACGGGGTAATGTCAATCGCCTGGAGGTTTGTTTAACATGTTTTGCTATAAAATAAACGATTATCCAATAATATCAATAATAAATTACCTCCAAAGATATTGAAAGGTTATGACAAATTTGAAAATTATTCTATTTCATAATTGTCGTGGCTCTTTGTCTGTTCATAATTTATTTCTCGATTGAGCAGTATGAAGGATTAATATTCTATCCTCGATAAAAATCATGTTGTTACAATCATTTTTTAAATATTCGATTGTGAATTAAGAATTGTAACAATTATTGTCTTATCTGACTGTGAGAGCTGTTACCTGTTGTTTTAATAATTGATCTAAATTTTCTGAGACAAGAGAGTTTGTTTGAAACAGAACGTTAGAGTGGTATTAAAGTGTGTAGAATATAGAACAAGAGCTTTTACGTACATTGATAATATTTAACATTTTTCATTCATGTTTTTTCTATTTTATTCAATTTGCGGTCATATGGAAATTACTCTTTCGAAGGCTTTTAAAAAAACATAGATTTATCTTCCATTTTAAAACTCCGTTTCTGTGTTTTTTCAAAACCTAACGACAAAAAATATTGAAACTACTGAAAGAGAACCAAATTCATATTTATTACATTTAATAATTTATCCTACAAAAAAATATTATAATATTTTAATAATAAAAAATTTTAAGTATTATTAATTTATGTAGAAATCATTATTACATCATTAAAAATCTTTTAAATTCATTTTTTCCTTTTTTGATACCCATTCTATGTTTCGAATTGTAAAATAATGAATACACAATTGTTACTATTTATATAACATTGTAAAATCACAATAATAGTATGTTTTATTGCAAGATAAGAAATAATGTTTATATGTATAGTAACGGTCATTTATTTTGCAATGCATAAATCGTTCAGTGAGAATGATTGACTCGACTGACAAGTCACAAAGGAATAACGTTTTGATGTGTCGCCTAAAGTGACCTACATACGTTGATCGATATTTTTACATAATATATCAACTCTTGTGTTAACGACTGTCGCAAATTCCCGGTTATACTGTCAGAGAATTCCGTGAACCTTGACCATTTTGCGTAGTTGAACTTCATTGCAAAAAAAAACAGTGGATTGTGTTTTTAAAAGTGTATAATCATTACTACGTCTTGTGTTTTATGTAATTTGAGTTAACGAAAATGCATGAAACTCAATTATTAGATTCGCTGAAATATATATTTTCATGAAAAGAATTACCTATTTAGAAAAATTTCTCAAAAAATTACCACATTTAATCGCAGAATACTAAATAATTAAATAGACATGGTATATCAGAAAACTAAAATAATTGCGTGAACCTCTGATTATCTACATCAAAAATTGTTATACATTTTCTTTAAAAATATGTTTTAATATAGTATTAAATTTCATTTCGTTCGTTGAAATATTGGAATTTTTGTTAATACAAATTGAACATCGCGTTACCTTCAAATTTGTTCTTAGATAACAAAATCAATTTGTCAGTATCTCATAATGAGACTCGAAAGTAGTTTAGCTCTCTAGACATGCACGTCAAGACAATTTATGGCGAAAAATGTTGTTTACAACTATGTACTTTTACATTCCACCGGAAAATTTCCATTACTTTTCCTTTCGCGCACGCCCGAAACTGTTCTCAGTCTACTCAACCAGAAACCTGATTTACGTAAAACATTTTATGGTGATGCAACCTAAATAGATGCTTTGATAACCACTTTCGGCAACTGTATATAGCGATGGGGTTAAGTATGTTGCAAAAAATTGTTTATTGCACTTCAAAAATCAAATGCAATATTAAGTGTACCAGTAAGTAATCCACTATTTTTTCAAAAAGCTGCAATAAAATTTAAATTTGATTATTTTTTCTAATTTTACATTTAGTAAAAATGGCGTATATCTACTAAGGTATCATGTGTTTATAGAAAAAAATACACTGCAGACATCGTACATTTATCGATTATACAAGTGTGCTGAGCATCATGAGTCGGAATCGTTAATAAAGCTTAAAGGATTTTATTTCATTTTTTTGACTCAATATATCCTTTAATGACTGATTTCACAGATTAATTTTCCGAATTGAGTAACAAACGACAGAAATTAATTTTCTTTATAGATAATTCTAGTAGGCTGAAAATAAAATGATGTCTTTATTAAATATTATTAAAGTCTCTATTCTATTGCACTTTTGACATCCAAGTATATGCACAAATTCAGCAGTTTACTTATGAGCGCGCTCAAGCGTTGTACGAGTATCTCGATTATTGTTTCTAAAGATTCGCTAGTACACAATACACAGGGTGTCCCCAAAATCGTGGTACAACCGAACGTGTAGTGATGTTACATGCAAAAATAAGTCGAACAAAAAGAATAACAGTTTTTTATTTATCGCTTCCTTTTCGAGATAATGGAATTTTAAAATCTGCTGGTTAGGTAGTGCAATTGAATAGGACGTGGCTTCCACGTCTGTCCATTACATTCCGTTTCTACTTACTACCACGACGAACACGCGTGTTTCAGATTACATAATTTTCAAATTCGATTTTCTCGAAAACGAAACCTCAAACGAAAGAAATTTATTCTTTTTTTTTTTCAAACTCATTTTCTTTCTTATAAAATGACCACCCGACAGATGTACGTAGTAAAGTCCAAAAGTTCTCGGCTTGAGTAATAAAAAAATATCGAATAACTGAAAAACGTGTATTATTTTTCAATACAATCTCCTTTTATACCCTCAGAAAAATACTTTTTGTCTTTGCCTGCAAATGCTTCAAAATAGTTTCATGTACCTCTTCATCGTAGTTAAACTTCTATACACGAAGATTAAATTTCAATTTTGGAAATAAACAATAATCGCTAGGCCATCTGTGACTGTATTGTTTTTTTATAACAGTCTTCACTGCGTAAGCAATGGAGACTCCTTTCAAACGTTTAACCCTCCTTTTTTAATAGCAGTTTCTGAATGAAATTGACATAATATTCTGCATTTACCGTCTTATTTTTCTCTTTGAAACCGATTAGCAATATGCCATCGCAATCCCAAAATATTTTCTTCCCATTTTAAATAATTTTACCCATGCTTGACAGTTGAATATGAAGGCGAAGCATCGTCATATACAGGGTGTCTCAATTAACTTGATCACTTCGAATAATAACGGTACACTTTATGACAATTTTGAGACGTGGAATTAAATGACATCAAGGAGCACGTCTTATAAGGTACGTTCTCCTTTTGTGGGTGGAGGCATTTCAGAGATTTCAAGGTCACCTTGATTTTTTTTAATGGAATGACCTATTTTTTTTACCATAGATCGATAGAGTATCAAATTCTGAGTAAACATGTGTGACCTTCATACGTCCTAAACCTAATAGGTAACGAGATATTTACAAAAGAATCACTCTATTGAAGTTGAGGACCATCAGTTCAAGCACCTATAGCTTCCAGACAGTAAGTACGTATTAAAAATTCCTTTGTAAATATTTCGTTAACTATTAAGTTTAAGGACGCATAAAGGTCAACACATTTGTACTCAGAATGTGATACTCTATCGATCTATGATACAAAAGATAGGTCATTCCGTTAAAAAAATCAAGGTGACCTTGAAATATCTAAAATGCCTCCACCCACAAAAGGAGGGCGTACCTTATAAGATGTGCTTCTTGATACTATATAATTCCACGTCTCAAAATTGTCATATAGACTATCGTTAAGTTATTATTCGAGGTGATCAAGGTAGTTGACACACCCTGTATTTTACAAAGGCGTTCGTGAATTTCCATTGACATACTATCTTCTTTTGTCAAAGGTTTAAAACAGCACAGTAATCTAAATTCGACATAGCACGTGGAGGTTAAGTTTACACTGCATTTACAAATAAAAGACTGAACGCATAAGAATGAAACTGATTACATTGGTGTCTTTAATATTAAGCTTAATTTCCTCGCCATTCATATTTTTCCACGTATGCGCAAAATAGGAAAGGCCGAGCACTTGTAGACCTTACTACGTACCACGATTTTGGGGACACCCCGTATATGCACGTACATACACAGAAATAATTTATGTGTTCACATAATCATACGTGTACAAACACACGAAACACAACGCCCACTTATACGAGTAGTGATCGAACTCGAATGAATCTTTGATGGTGAATTTATTAAGAAACATGAGTATACGTTGAACTTGATCCAATCGATAACTTTGTGACGAGTTCTATGTAGGTACGAAAGTAGAAGTCAACTTGGTCGAAGCAGAAAATATCGTTTTCTATCATGATTGCGTATGCAGTTCTACGACATTGAATCGTCTGAAGGTCTTGTACAAAAAAATCACTGAATTTACCTTCTTTCGTTGAACGAAACAGAAAGGTCGAGTATGTCTATTTGAATAATCAAATGGATCTCGAAATAACGTTGAAGTAGAAAATAAGAATATTATTTCCATAAACATTCACAGTAAAGTTATTACTGTTCCATGCGTAATACATTTAGCTGTAATATTCAATTCGTAATTGAACTTTTCAAAAGCCCCGTTCCATGTTTTCTTAATGAATCCGACTTCTTTTAAGGAAAACCGTACATGGAAAGTTCCCCGTAATTGTCCGCATTATTCATGTCAAGCAATTAAATTGAACAAAATGTACAGTTATATCTTTATTATTATTCATCTGTTTAAAATAACGTATTTGTTATTATCAATAATACTGGCTGTTGATCTTTCAAACTAAACTATTCGTTATTATTTATGGAATTGGTAATGTTGTTTAGTTGTGTTACTTAAAGCGCATTCGTCAAAATATTAATTCCTACATTGATACAAATTCTCTACGATTGAAATCCATAAATTAAACGAAATGCAAGTCGGTAAACTAATGCTGCTCGTAACATCGTTTCAACTAATTTCTGAAGCTTAATGTTTTTAAATGAGGTTTACATACCTCGAATTTGGAACTATCGCCACTTTCGGCAAACCACTAGTGCCGCTCGTGTAAATATACAACAGTTTGTCCCTGTAGCCAATTTCTTCTTTCACTATTGGTTCCTCGGTACTGGCTTCCGACAGAAGCTGGTTCAGATCGTGCACTCCATCCTCGCAAGATCCAGGTTTGGTGCACACCTTGTACCTCTCTACACCCGGAATCGAAGCCTTAATATCATCGATGGCTAAAAAAAGGATTGACATTTTATAGTAATTTCTTCACTGTTCAACTCTCTGTAATTCCTGTACGTATTCACGTAGGATGTACAAAAATATGGTAACTATCTTACGAGGTCGACGGAAGTTATTAAAAGAAGTGAAATACCCTTACGGAACATTTCCATGAACCGATATATCGATCATAGCAATATTGAAATATTCATACGAACTCCTTACGTAAGTACTCTAAATTGGTAAGAATATTGCAAATTATGACCTCATGACTTTAGAAAAATTATAATTTTATAACTATAGTCTATACGTTCTTATAAAGAGACTATGGACGTATGCGTGTTGTTGCAGTCAATTGCATTTCTATAAATTTTTCGTTGTTTATAGAATGTTTTAATTTTATCTAAACAGAAGTTTCACTATGTTATTATACTGCGAAAGGATTATTTAATTAATGTAAAATTCTGTTTGTCTGCATTGACAGGGTTCATCTACTTGTCATCTGAATTGCCTATCACGTAAATCACCAATACAACTATGTTTGTATTGGCATGATTTTTCACGCGCAGAGGACCACCTTCTTGGTGTTCAAGGTCACCTCAAGGTCGTAACTCAGACATGCTTGAATTTAGCACCTGCTATAAGATACAGTAGAAACAAATACGTGCTTTCCTGTAAACAAAATACCGGTAACCTTGACAAATTTAAAAAAAAATGCCCATAAAATTTATCTCCTGCGCCGTGTTCCTTCTTCGAAAACATCCAGATTATGTTTCTTCGAGAATCATTCAAAACAAAGGAGTTATCTAGGTATTCGGGTTTTGCTGGGACACCCTTGTATCAAATGATTTGTTAAATTAGATTTTCTTGAACAATAAATATCATTTTATTCTATCTTTCTAACCCTTTAACGGTGTTTGACGAGTATACTCATCATAAGGAAATTGCCACTCTTTAGATAATGACGAGTTTACTCGTCATGTAAAAAAATAAAATACCTTTTACTGTACGAATTCAAATTTTAATAAAAATCAACAAATATGCTTCCTTCCCTAGAATCACATAGCAACACATTTCCTACAAAAAATTCTACCGTTGAAGGGTTTAAGTTGTTTTTGCACGTCAAGACACCTATCGGGCTGCACCACTCGTCATGCAAAAAACTTTTCCAATGGCAAACGTTTCCCTGAACGTACATAATTCTACGATGCATCCGAATGTAGCGTTAACCACTTCCTAAGAAGATACTAATGCCACCCTGAGCAATGGAAACGTTCCATTCAGGGCAACGGGCGTATTTGCATGCGTTTATTCGAATACCTTATCCTCAACGTCACTCTTAAATCTCTGGTAGCTCCTTCTCCTCGCCGTCTCGTGACCCAATCGCGGGACGATTGCACGTCGCAGAAAATCACGATCCATGTATATACGAGAATACGGTGTCTCTCAAATGAGAACTTCCACCGATTCGAAACGTATAATATAATTGTAAATAATAGCGAACAACAGGAATATACTGAATATTAAAAGCAGAACACTCTCGCCGGGCGTCATCGCAGTAATTATATTGTTCGTTGGTATATTTACCGGACGAGTATTCCTCTAGATAAATGATACTCTTCACTGCAGCGATACGCAGACAATGGTTCAAAGACTGAAGTCGCAAGTTCGTGTTGATTAGAGCGGTGACGACGCCGAGTTTCCCCAAACCGAGCCAGATCGCGACGTACTCCGGCCTGTTCAGCATCATCAAAGCCACAGCGTCCCCCTTCACGTATCCAGCTTTTTGAAACACCGACGCTACCTGGTTGCTATAGTTGTTGATCTGCAATTAGAAATCGTTCCGGTTTCTCTAGCGTTTTCGACAATAAGGTCAATATCCCTATTTCTAATCACGTCCCGATTTCTGTTTAATACGTATATTTTTTATATAATGTAAAAAGTTAAACAATAAATTAGTTATACGAGAAATTATTTAAATTAGTTCAGTATTTCCGTACGAAATGCTATAGCCCGCTGTTCAATAGATGGCAGCATTTTAATAAAAATAATTTTGAATAAGTGTGTCCGTTGTAATAGAAACGCGATTTGGCACTTCCTTTTTCGCTAAGCAGAAATAGGGACATTATATACTTCGTATTAAAATACCTATTATTAAGTTAAAATGTTTTTGAAAATACTTTTATTTATATTTAATTGTAAAGGGAGGTTTAAATTTTATATGTAATAAGTTTTCTTGTCGATTGTACCATAAATAAATCATAAAAATCAATTTCTGCGATTGCAGAACTCTTGCATGATTAGAAATAGGGACATTGACCTTATTAATTTTCTTCGACAATATAAATATTCGTGGAATATTTACACTACAGATTAGGGTGGTGCTTATTTAAGAAAAACATTATTTTTCTTTTTTTCGCATGGGACACCCTGTCAATGTGTTCACTCTTATTTCCCGTTAGCCAAATCTGCAAAGCCAAATTTTCCTATAAGCTGTCGAGTTAAACCTATACCACTTGAAAAGTAGGGTCCTAATAAACCAGGCATTACCGTCCGTGGTTGAAATGTTAATTAACCTACACACATTTATATAGAAAGTTCTATTTCTTGTACTTTTTTCATAATTCGACTCCAATAATTTCTACCTCATTGTACATTACACTCGATCATTTTGTTTCCACCAGTTTTTCAGACTTCTTTATTAGATAAATTATTAATTTGTTTTGCAAAAAGGCTATCATTTTCATCAATGTAATGGAGGTAGGCAGTTCTAATAAATAGAGGTATCATAAAACCGCAAAAAAATATTTTATTCCTGATTTTTAATTAACGCAAATCCTTTAAATATCTGTAATACTTCAGTGGAGTCCCGTGTTTTTCTCTAAGGAAGATACGGTAAAATCTTTATATAGAAACTTGTCACGCGACAGGATGTTTCGATGATAGAACGATGCTGTATGCATGCAAATTTTGTACGTACATGTCAGTACACAGTAGCAACATAAAAGTTAGTGGTTTTACAATTAGTGGTTCGCCAATTTTAGTACTATTGAAGTTTTGCTCCAAAACTCTGCTTTGAAATATTTATGTTTATGCAAATCTACGTTTTTACATTAGTTCTCAGAGATATACTACAGTTTTCTATTTTATTATAATCTCTATATTATTACAATATCCTTTCCACACTTGTGGATGCTATTTCTTTTTTTATCGAAACTGTTTCTCCAAATTCATTTCTTCGTCTCTCTAATATGACCACTACTGGCAAATTTATTTATTATTATTATTTCACTTATGAGTCACTGTTTGCATAATCGTTAGTTAGATTCGGATAATCGAAATTTTGTCGTATAACGTGATGAATAACTAAGAATAAATTTGTTGGAGGGTTTATGATTATAATATTCGGCTACTTCATACGTACGTCAGCATTGGTCCAAATACGGTCCTCGAAAATGAAGCACGGTTTCGTGGGGTAACGTTCCACTCTCTTCTTGAAGATCTTTGTGACGGTCATATTGTTCCGACGCTGACCTTTCATCGTGAGTTCAGCGCTTATAGCGCGATAGAGAAATCTGAAAGGTAAATTTAAACAATGGTCGTTATATTATATGGAAATATTGATAATCGTTCAAGTTTCGTAAAATATTAGGTGTATCCATGCGTAATCCGCCATTTTTTATGCGAGAATGTAATTGAATCTTTCGCTGGAAAGATAAAATGTTATGACTAGACTATTTCTGTAATTACTGATAAAATTGGGAGTGTCAAACAGAATGATAACTTCTGCTTTCGGATTCAAGTTTTCGCGCGATAACGCAGCTGCCGAGCGCTGACGGAGCCCAGAGTCGAGTCGAGCGTTTTGCGTGTCCGGCGGAACATGTGCGTGCCGTGCGATTGTATTCATATATGTTCTACATTTAGTTAAATAAACTGCTTTTCATTCACTAGAAAACCACGCTCTGCAACCGAATTTTGACAGGGAGCAAATGTAGAAATTTATTTTTCCTCTTAACTATGTCATTGAGTTCAGAATAAAATAGAAATCTCGTTGGATCCTATAAAAGTTTTGTTTTTATCATATTTCACAGAGCCCTACAGGCTATGAATGTATAAAATCCACAGTCTAGTTATGACTATGATATTGTCTGGGATTTCTGTATTTATAATTCGGAGTTTGATAATGTTTAAAGAGGTTTTTGTTTTAAGGAATTTAGTTTACTAAATGATGTGTAAAAAAATTTGGAAAAAGTTGCAATTGTAATATAATTAATTTATATTAATTTATTCTTAATTTTAAAAAAAGTCGAAAGAAATAAATATTTTTCGTTTGAGGTTTCGTTTTCGAGAAAATCGAATTTGAGAAGTAATCTGAAACGCGTGTATTCGAGTAGTAAGTAGAAACGGAATGTAATGAACAGACGCGGTGGCCAACGTATCCAGCTGATTTTTAAATTCGATTATCTCTGAAACGAAACCTTAAATAACAAATTTTATTCTTTCTTTCGACTTACTTTTTCATGAGTAACCCTACTTGGCCAGTTATAACACGATTTTGGGGACACCCTGTATAAAGTATTATTATTGTTAAATGAGCACATGGACATCTTTTTGGCATTTAACATGTTAAATGTCACTTTCTGTTTGACAACGTTCCGAGCTATATAAAGCGGAAAACACTTTGTGCACATTCCAAAAGGTTAAACGGAAAAGTAGTTAAAAACCGTTTAACGTTAATCAGAATAATTTATTGCTGGTGTTATGCGAATAAATTATTCAGTGCTTCTGACTTTTATGAAACATCCTGTGGGATTGGGAATTTACATTTGTGGTTTACTTATCAATTTGTGTTTAAGAAATGTATCATTTAATAACGGAATTAATTATAAAATATGTATAATAATTTTTTGTACCAGAATTATAATGCAATATATATAAATATGGTTTGAAAGTTTACATCGTTTTCGACAATTATTGAAAATAATTTAATTAAGAAGATATAAAGGACGAAACCAAGAAATCTACTCATGAGGATCACGGAAAAAATGGTCTGACAATATGCTATCCTTTTCCCCTTATCTGCTCATTTCTTTACCATTAATATTTTGATTGGTTTTATGGAAGAACTATAAAATTCATGTAAAAATGCCTTTGCAACAGCATTTCAATTTATAATTATTATTACCTCACACCCTTAAGATTTAATACGTTGCATTGCGCAATTTATATTTTCTAAAACATAAAAATTTTCTTTTTCTCGTACTGAGATACTTTTTGCACAACATAATTGAAAATGGAAATCATTCTCACTTTATATCTGGAAGAACTAGTTGCAGCCGAATTAATCGTTTATCCTGTATCTCTGGGCAGTGTATTAATTTATAACAGTAATATTAATGGAAATATTCAGATAACACTGCAAATATCCGAATATTTTCTTCTAAAGGAGAGTTCTTTCTTCTCCTTTTTAGCAAGATCTATCGATAATTACACTATAATTCAAGATGTTTCTGTTGAATCTCCGATATTTAATCAATACTCGATGAAACAGAAATCTTTGCAGATTCTGTGGTTAGTCAAACAGTAAGGGCACTGTTAAGAGGCCAAGTGATAATGCAACAAGATAGGCAGTCATTCCTTCATCATTTGCAAGTGTGCAGAACGTCTCGTCGCTTATTGTACGAAAACATTTGTCAGTCTTATCTGTGTCAATGGGATTCATAGTCATTAGTAATCCTGTAAATATATATGTTATTGTACAATGTGGAAACACGTGTTAATATAACTCTACAAAAATGTACCGAATCATTATGCGACAATCCAGTGAAAAAATACAACTTCACCTCACTCAAACGAAAACTATTTGTCATCTTACATGTATTATAAAAATATTAATTGACAGTATCCATTAAAACATAATGAAATAATACCTATTTTGTGTTAATTATTTTTTTTAGTCATAAATTTAACTAAATACACTGTTAAATTCATTCGATGCAACGAAAACATCTGCATTATTTTAACTCCATATTTTCCAATTCATACAAATCGTCGCCCGAGTTCTTAACTGTTCTAAATTCATTTTTCAAGAAAAATTTAATGCCATGTAACGCCTTTTTATTTGCAACGATAGTTCTAACCCAGACATGCACCTATCGCACGATTCTTCGGATTATGGTCGATCACTGACCCGCGCAAGGCTACACACGCGATCGCCAAAAAGGCCCGTTAGACGAAAGAAGTGGTTGACCGAGTCGGAAATGCGCGTGTGCCTCTCTGCACTCTTCGAAATCGATACATATAGGGTGATCCGTTGGCGATGGTACAACCGACAAGATGCGGATGTTTATGCAAATACAGATTTTTACCAAGTAATTTATAGAAGACGAAATCAAATAGAATCATATTTATCTTATTAAAGATTCTATCAGATTCCAAATAATACGATCATTTTATAACAGTTTATGAAACATTTCAATGCATTGAGTTTCAAGCAATCGTGTATGCGATAAATGCATAAAATCCGCAATCTAATAATATAAAATTCCTACAAAGTTTTGTTTTCGAGAAAAATGACTTTCAATAAAATTCGGTTAATGTGTCTGTTCATTACTACTATTATATTTTACTGTACACAATTAAGTGTAAACAAAATTGAAATTTATGCGACAAAATTTGGGAATGTCTGCGATTCCAAAATTTTTGGGAACATAGGGTATAGGTACCGTCAAGTGGTTGATAGTACCGGTCATGAATAGTTCAAGTTCAATAGTGAATTGTCAACGTTATTAGGAACAATGTATGAATTGCCTCAGAACACTGGAATATTCTGAATTTTTGCGATCGATGTTTACTAGAAGTCTTTTATCAACACCATTACGTGTAATATGCTCTAAAATAATGTGACACCAATTTAGAATGTGCCTCTACGCGAATGTAATGGTATGAATGGTAAATTATTGAGCATTATCGATTAGGAATTGGAGCTGAAAATTATTCACCGAATGGAACAAAACTGTCGCGTTTCATGGTTAGTGAGCATTAATTATAGAGTACTATTTTTAATAAAATATAAAAACTTCTAATGGTAATAACCATTAGATTACAGCTTTTATGTATTTATAGTAAATGTCATACATAAAACAGAATTAACTAAGAAACTTCATGAACGTTAGAAAATTTTTTTGTTTTATTTCTAATTCACCTAATTCTGTTTTTACACGAATTGGGTGTATATTGAAAACATTAATAAAAAAAAAATATATTTCCATTTAGTTTTGTAAAATTCAAGTTATCATATGAGCAAAAACAAAATAACAAGTTGTTAGCTCAAGAAATAGTTTACCTCGGTAAAGAAGAAAATGAGGTCTGCGTTAAAGGCTTTATTAAAATTAATGCTTCATTGTGTTTTATTCAGTTGCATTGGCTACAAATTGCATTCCACATTCGAATAACCATCAACATTTGCTCTGAATACGTTACCATGTGATATCGTAACCTTTTTAGATGAATTACAATTACATTGCTTACGGTATCGATACGATTGGCTTGTATTGTCTTTCGATTTTTTCCTCGTATACTTTAAATAAGGTACATTAATATTTAAAGACTTATTTCGCTCATTTGGTAATCAGAATAACTGTTTCATGCATTTTGTCGATAAGTATACATGTAAATCTACTTGTACGAATTATTAAAGTAACCTGTACATTTATTGTAGTAAATTTAATACAATTACCAATTCGAACATTTTCGTTACTCGCTACACCTAATTTTTTTTTTCTAACACCCTGTATATTACTGCTACTGTGCAATCATATTTGGAATAAACCAGGGCACGATAAGGCTGATAAAGTGAGCAACGTGTGAAAGTTGAATGAAACGGGTCAAGCGGACAGTAACTCTTATTTTCTACGTTCTCCGATGTTTCCCGTCCACGATGATCTTTTGCTCTTGTACGTGTATACAGGATGTTTACATGTTACAAGATAATTTCTACTGCAATGTCCAAAATGTCTTCAGAAATTTTCTTTTCTTCGAAACTTGTTTCGTGGAAGCTGTTTTACATTATTTCAAGAGAATATGAAACGTACAGTGATACTCAAGGAAGCCATATTGAACGTTTCCGATAACAAAAGCTTCGAAACGTTGCACCTCGAAAACAAAGCATTCGCTGACATTCATTTAAAAAATACAGCTTATCACTGACACGATTACAATGTATTTTCGTAGAAGGTTTATTAGTAATCTGTGGACGTTTCTGCACATACACGATACACTAAAATTCATTACAGTAAAATAATTGATAAAATTTAACAACAACTTTCTTATTTTATATGAAATCTGCTCGAATCCTTAAAGGAATAAATACATTTTTTTCTGAGTCTAGTTTGCGAAAACTAACGCATAAAAGTCTACACTTGCATAAACACCCACAGTCAAATTATTACTTAAGTAATTCATGAAAAAAATTACGTTAAATATTTTATAAAATAGTGGGACCTTCGACTGTTTGGTATATTAATCATGTTAATGTCAGTTCTATTAATTTTCACAATTAACAGCCGGATGTCGCAATAATTTCTTACATTTCGTGTGATTTTCAAGAATCGATTACTCTTTCAATCATTTATGAAATGTCTTCTCGGTGTATGTATTTGATTATAGCATATGAAATCAAGGACTCTATGATCACATTTCCATCAATGAAAATGATCAATTCAGATCACTATATGCCCATTAAATTAATGCGCTAATTATACCGTGTAATGGGCACTACTTGGTTTAATAATGAACTACTAATACTGTTTAATATTCTAAAAGAATGTTTCACCCTTTCAGGAACTGCGAAACCTGGTTTCATACTTCTGGTCAATAGCGAATATCTACACCTAATAAATGTTTAAATCTTAAATAAATTAGTTAATTTACTGAGATGTACAAAGTGCGGTTGAAATGGTGGTAAAAACTGGTAACAAAATGTTTCAGACCCTCGTAATTTCGTTTTTTACCCGTAGCTCGAGCTTCGGCAACAAAATTGGAGGAGCAACAAAGTATGCACTTGACATGTTCCACGACCTCCCCCCACGCCCCCTCCAGTGGTGGGGATAACGTCTGGACAATAATCGTGTAGAACAAGCTAGACGATAATCGAGAGCAGTCTGTAATGTTGGATTTTTGCAATACATGATGGTTTTTTTATTTTTCAACACAAAGCAATTTAAAAGAAATCAATAAAATTGCGTTAAATTTTCTTGAATTGACCCTATTTTGAAAATAAATGACTAGAAGGTGTACTTGCGAGCAAATTTTACCTTTTTATCTCCGTTCATTTCCAGCACCATCACCGTACACATAAGAAATCTTTTTTGTTGAAAACTTTTTTCCGAAAGTACAACATCTCATTACTCATTCTCAAAACAGGGTCAATGCAAGAAAATTTAACGCAATCATAATGATTTTTTTTTTATTAACGACTCGTTGGATTGCCAGCTTTCGAAATATATACTTGTACGTTTTATTAGTTCGAAAATGCAGTTCTTTGTCTTGAAAAACAACGAACGTATTATTCACTGCAGAAATTCGACATTATTTTTTGGCCAATCCAATATATACCATTTCGGTCGCAGTCTATTTATCGCGTACATTTACGTAGATTGCTCTGTATACTAAACAACATTGACCCTTTGACAATAATAATAATAGTCAATCAAAAGATCCTAGATTCACATGAAATTCTATAAACGGCACCTAATTCAGATCTGTTGCGTTGAAGCAGTCTGTACGGCGAGGCTCGACTACGAATAGTTTGCTACTTACATCACATCACGCGGCAGCATCTTAAAGATGATGTAGAGCTTTCGATGGAATCTGCATAGCACCGGAAGTAACACCAAGGCAAGGAAGATCTGGGCGATCTTGTTGAACCCGGGGAAGCCGAACCTGGTCGCGACGGTGGCAACCATCGCCCCGATGATTCCCAGTGTTAACAGTAACAGTTTGACGTCCATGTTCCAATTTTACGGACTCTAGTCCAGAAGAATCTAGGTGCTCGTGTCTCTTAACTGTAAACGGTAACGCAACGAAACCCTTAAACATCAAATCGTGACACCAGGGACTAATAATTATTTTTAATTATTTCGAAAGCTCGTAGCGTTCCTAAGGGTAGAACTGCGTTCCGTAGCTTTCAGATTGCTATCTTATTTTATATTTTTCAGCTTCTTCTACAATTTGTTCAGGTGTCTCGAATAATTCGAATACAAACGATACAACTGAATATGTTTCACCGAAAAAGGGGGAAAACCTCGATAATTCGTGCATAGAACACCTTCAAGGAGTACTTTGAAGAAAGGTGCATGGTTACCAGATCGATCGATACTTTATTTCTACAGTAAACTGGTAATAAATACACTACGCTCGAAACGCTACGAACCTTAAGAACAAGCCAACACACTTGGATACCACGGGCGTTACCGAGGGACTGAATTTAGTATGAGATTAATATGATCCTATCGATCGTATTTCGTCTTTTGGAATTGTGACCTCTGGGGACAATGGTCATTGATTCTGTTTTGAAATTACGTAAGATAACGCGATTAGTCGACTTAATTCGGAGCCGGAGAAGGTGCGACGATCAATACTTTGCGTTTTACGGGCACGCGGGGCAAACCACGATCTGATGTTCACGTTCGCATGACAGATTTGGACGAATCGCCACGATGAATTTGTTATGCCACGTAATTGCTAGGACGTCTAGCGATTTAGAGATTCGGGACACGTCACGTCGAGCAACCTCGATGTTACACAGAACGAAAAATAAATTTCTTACGTCCGTAATTGACTGAGACGCCAGTCGATTTCACACTTATATCATATTATTCTTTTAAAAACTTTTAACAGGCTTGAAGATTCACACGATTAAACGATATTCGGTGTCTGGTAGATTTAAACTGTTTAATATTTATAAATAGAGTACGATCTATTTTTATAGAATAATTCACAAAAATATTAACTGAGCTTACTTTTTTTACTAGAGGTTTAATTAGTTTCGAAATTAGATGAACTGTTAAGTCACATTTTCAGTGTATTTCCTTTGGCACAGTTGTACTTATAATTCCATGAAATTATCGCATAGGGAAAATATAAAATATTATACTGTAAATATTTTTTTTTAAAGTATTTTTTTGCACTGTACAGTTTCTTTTTCAATTATTGTAGATCAAACTAAAAAGTAAATACTATTTTTTAACAAATGAATTGAAAATTAACAGAAGAATCTCCACTGACTTGGGGATCTGTATCAGTACACGATAATGAAAATTATCTATATCGCTACAGATTAGTCTATATTTACAACAGAAATTTACGCTTTATTTTGCTGAATAAATTTTATACGCAAAAAACACGAAAATTATAGTTTTTACAGGAAACACCCGGTTTTTACTAAAGTGGATAGAAATTGGTCAATCATAGGTGAAAATATAAAAATTGTTTTTCACTGTGTGAAACTCTTTAGAAAATTACACTTACGAAAAAAAAATAAGTCAAAACATTTCAGTCGCTACAACTCAATGTTACGATGAACTTCGAAGTTACACTAAACACCAGAATAAATTCCGTTATTTCACAGTTCCTTGTCATATCGCATTCCCTATATAATACTTTTAGAAAAGGAGTAACAATACTACCATTTAATACTCTAAAACAATATAATTCAGTACAAAATACTACTGTCAACATCTAAGTTACATCCACCGGAAGTTTCTTTAATTCAAAATCATTTCACTCTGTACCACTCAATAGGGGTGTCAATATTTCGAAACCGATTCACAGTAATCTCTATTTTACGACAGGACATTAAAGGGACACGTACCAGAAGACTTATTTCAGAGTCCCCCACGATATCACGATCACTATTCCAATCCTTCACGATAAGTACATGTATTCTAAAATTTCCGTGGTACTCAACATTTTCGAGTCGACCGAAATATAACGCGTGACTTTTAACAGTTACACCAGGTGCCAACCAGTCAGCACAGAGTATCACCAGCAATCTTAGCGCGTCCGTATACCACGCAGTACTGACGATCTCTTTGTTCGGTTGCACGGGGATCGCGAACCGATCACACTCTTTGTCTGAACGTTACACGTGGGGCACGCCGATTAACCGTCCTTTATTACAGGGAGCACGCGAAAATGTCACACAAGTCCTTCCGTGCATACCCGCCGGCGGCGGCGAGGTGGCACCGCTCGTCGTTGATCAATAATACTGTAAGCTTTGCACCCGCCTCTCTCAAGCCACTCGTCTTTTATTCGTTACTGGAATTCGACTGGCTGCTCCGTTGATCAAAGCTCGTCCTCCCGGTTTCATGAATTAACACGTGCTTAGAGAATCTATACCTGGGCTATTCAGGGACAAACGAAGCCGGGATCGATCCTTTTGTGTGTCTCTTGAAGTACCGCACGAGGCCCCGCTACCGCAATCAATAATCTCGCGTTTTCAGTGCGTAGTACTACGCCCGGCGACGATACCGACAACACTAAAACAGCCGGCGAAGGTTACTAACTGAACGTGGGGCAAGCAAACGGCAGTGTACCTCTCCGACTTGGTTGATGCGGGGTATTGCGCCCACCACCAAGAATTATTCCTGTGCGGTGGTGGTGTTCATGGCTGCAGAAAATCGAAGTTTTATTTTAACGGGGGACCCCTACCCAATGGCTTTCCTCCCGGTTCCGCACGTTTCCCAGCTGCTGCTCACTAAGCATGCCCGGACACTGCGGGGCCGAGCGAATAATGGCGTTTTGCTTCGACGCAGTTAATTTAAAAATTTTGTTGTTCTTTTAATTCGATAAACTTCACTAATCACTGATATATACTAAATATTCTTTTGAAAACTTGCGTATAAGATGATTCTGCAGTAGTGTCTGTATTGGTGGTCGGAGAAAATCAGCTCGTTAATCTTCTTTCCTTTCAGTTTAGGAATTTCCGTGGCTGTTTGCAAGATTTTGGGGTTGTAAATGGTTTCGGGCATATCGAGGGAAATGAGAACGGGACGGAATTGAAATTGTAATGTGTTTTTTAACTTTGGAACGTTCACATTAGTGGAATTTTCGAAGTATCGCGGAAGAAAAGATTGGAATAAAATATAAATTTCTTTCGGAACTTGGTTTCCTGTTTGAAGGCTATCGTTAAATTGTTCATGGAAACACACATGAGGAAGGAAAACAAAATACTTTCGCTTCATAGACGTTGTCCTTTGTGAATGTTTTGATTTTAGGAATCCGGGGCTTATATAGTTTCTTGTTTTTCCATTAAAAAAGCTTTTCAACCCTCGGTTATCCCACTGGGTCGAAATGACCAAAATTTAATTAAGATGTATATCTTCGAGCTATCATCGAAAATGGTAGTACTGGCGCCATGTAGTAATAATGTCAAGTATCGTAGAAAAACATTTTTGGAGTTTTTTTTCATGAATTTTTTAAACATGATACTTTAAATGTTCATTTTTTATAATGAAAATATATTCTACAATGTTCATCTTGATAATTTCCTTATATTTTAAACGACATTCTCCTACAACAATCTAAAATTAATTAATGTAGATTTTATTCCAACATTAAATATAATTCATGAATGTTTCAATATTTCAACATTTTCTACTAATTAAATGACTATAAATATTATGTACCAATATTAATTGCCTTTACTTAGTTAGATACCTAAAAGCACCAAAATAAGTATCAAATGAATGTTTTTTGAAAGTAAATTAGTAATGAAATAAAAAACTCATTAGTATCATAGATGTCTCCTATGTGGGGTCTCTTTTGTATCATTTATGGTGTTGTATTTAAAAGAAAAGTATAACAATAATAGATTCTAATATTACAATGATAATAAAATTACCAGTATTAAATACTCTATTATACATACTTATGATGAATATAAAATCGAGAATGAGAAACTAGTTTTTATAATTCTTTTATTTACTATTAAATCCTTAACATAAGTAAATATTTATTTCAGAGCCTCATTGCTCCCTACAGAATTATAAATTTAGTAAATACAAAATTTTCATGACACAATAAACATAACTAATACTAAAAGAGTCCTGATTGGTATCACAAATTTTTATATTTCGAAAGTTTATACTAACATTTTGAAATGTATGAAATAAGGTATTTAAATACGTCTATACGCATAAACATGGTGTAGTACTAGAATAGTCTTTTTTAATCAAGGAAACAGTTATAATATTTCATATTTAAAAAGTCAAGTGTGCACACTTCGATACTCAGTTGCGCAACTCAGTCATGCACGTACGTTATTCGAAACCTTAAATAATCAAGCCTGAGAAAATAACGTTCCACTCACTTCCTTTTATAACTTGTAACATTTTCGAATAAGGCATTGTGCAAAATACAATTTATAGCACGAATGCTATAAAACAGAAGGTAAGTTCGATACTGAGCTACTCAATCGCATGGCTGAATTTACAGTCTGTACACTGTTGATCTGGTCACAGCAACTTTATTATCCACATTTTATCGTCTTCGGTACATATTTTAATGTTAAGTTTCTTTCAACAAATTATATGTAGTGTTATACAACATTCATTATTATCTAACGAAAAAGAATCTTTCATTGTATTTATTATTGATCAATACAGCTACGTTATAAACATACTTCAATGAGTCCTTATATAATCATAATTTTCATACGTACTGACAAAAAAGGTCTTTTAGTAAAAATGTTGCGGCGCGGTTTCCATTGAGGCAGCACAAGGTAACATGTAACACGCGAACGAGTAGGATTCCAACACGAATGTTGGAATGAGACTTTGATGTAGCATTCTACACTAGAATTTCAAAATTTGATATTCTTCTATAAAATACATACATTTTTCTTGAGATCACTCCATTGTTTTGTTTTCACCGCAGAATCTTTCCTGAATCTGATGGTGAGGAATTCAACACTCGACAGCAAATAAAATTTTGTCATGTACAATTGCTTCACAGGTAACATGTCGCTAATTGTCGCATACGACGATGTTATCTGTTGCATGTTGCCTCGTATAGAACTTGATTTGAACATCACCACCAAATGCGACTGCGACGCATGCATCATATTTACAAGATGTTGCCTCGGTGGAATCTGGCTTTTACAATTTATGATATTTGTAGAATTAGTGTACAATTGGCGAAAGAAAATAAATGCAAGTTTGTACAATTATTAATACTTCAATCGTGCGATTATGTCTTGAGTGTACAACGATTTCAACACGTATTTCTATACACTCAGCGACAAAAAGATCGCACACCTCGAAAATTTAACGCTCTCATCACTTGGTCATAATAAATGTACTCATTCTTGATACTTATGCATTTATATTGCGAAATGAGCTACAATGCAAAAAGAAAGTAAAGAAAAAGTTCTTTTGTTTAAATTTTGCTGTTCATATTTCTTTTTATAAATTTTACCCAAAGTGTAATTTCAATAGAAGATAAGAATTTTAAGACTGTGCCATCATTTTGTCGCGTCGGTGACCCCGATTGTTTACATTTAGACTAGAATCTGTAACCTCCGCTTAACTCCACCGGTGGAAGTAACCTTGAAGCTCCACCGAAGTTCATACACGGAGAGAAACATATAGAATTTCATCACAGTTTTAAGAAATAGCAATATTTACGGGTGTGCCATCTTTTTCTCGCTGAGTGTATGTTACTAGAATTGCGTATTAAAGAACTTAAGCGTAAGAAGTGAACAAACAAGAGAAGAATATGCTGTTCTACCTTATTAACAAGCACCATCAACGTTTCATGGGACTTAAGTAACCTCTATGCTAAAACGCAATAGCTCTTTAATTATATCAGCCGTGTATAGTTAGTTTGCTATTGAATTAAACTCTCATGAGACGTTAAACAGATACACATTAGCTAATGTACTTTAGATTTATTGCAGCTTTATTGATTCAGAACTAAGGTAGGCAATGGTGGGAAGACTTAAGACTGGCCTGAAAATGAATGTACATTTAAGAGGATCTTACTCTAGTGTAAAGGCCCGAAATAATAATTTTTTTACATTATCTCGTGGTTTTTGACGTAAAAAATATTTCTGTAGACCGATTCTTTAAAATTCGAATTATTAGCAGAGGTGTAGAGGTTTAAAGGTAGTTCCTCCCATACTACGTGGCGGTAAGTAAAAACGTTAAACGCGTTTTTCTCGACACAAGACTTTGCAACCAAGGACGAGTTTCGATCTTGCAAAAGATTAAGTTTACTGTTATTATACTAATTTGTATTTTTAAGGGGCTTCCGTGGTTCGAACCATAGGGATGACCATAATAAAGAAAATAAATCTTCGTTTTCCCATTTTAAGTGACTACAGTTCTCACACCGTGTACCGACGGAAAATTCTTTTTTTAGAAACTTGCATCACCGATTATATCTATGATATGTATATGTGCAATTAAGAAACTCGAAAAATTACAAGCAAGATGCTACACAGTATAAACTTATAGTTGTTGTTAAATAAATTCTCAAAGATAGCGTTGAATAGCAGGCAGTTACACTAGAGTATCCCCTTAAGAATGAGTAGCTATTAATCAAAAAACTTTTAAAGAAAGAGCAATTGACGGGGATATAAATTATTTTCCGGATATTTACGAACTATGTACCTAAGTTTGGTGGACTGGATAATAGTTTTATACATTGATCTACTGGTAGTAAATATTCTATTACGAATAATTATAAATTCCTTTTCTTCGATTTTCTAAACTTTGTTTTTATCCATCAATATCTTCTGCATTCACAATATTCACTTCTACAATATTCTTTCCTGCAAATTGTCCGAACACACTATTTGATATGCTACGTTTGACAACTGTAACACAGCAATAAATTAATTAATATACTAGTCAGTACTATTTAGTGTTCATACTATATTAAATATATAAGCTACTAACCATTTGAATTTACTTTTGTTAACATATATATTGGTAAATCTTGACACTCGCGAGCTATATGTGTTCCAACAAGAGATAAATCAGTGATTGGCGGTAGTACTACTTTCATTGTTTCTTTGACAATTTCCGTATCTACTTCATAGTAACCTGTAAAGAGAATCGCATAACCAATTTTTCATATGCACGGTATCTATTTTATAAGGTTTTTTAGGAAACGCATCTATCGTATTAAAACAGAATTACGTGTAATTATGTAATAACCATGTATACAATTTCAACTTTGTCATTTGATACACTAACACAAGTGTCAGCATATAATAGCAAATCGATACAAATGTGAACTTTATCAAAAATTTATAGATAATATACAAAAATTTACGATGTAAATTTATCAGTTGTTTTAGGTAATTTGATGGCAAAGGTATAGAATAATACCATATGTTAAAACCTAGCTAATCCATAAAATATCAAAAACTTACCGTTATACATTTTCCTAAGGAGATCATACATATTGCGTGGCGGTAACACTCGCTGACGATTTAACGGCATTACGAAGCAGCACTGCCTATCAATATCAATGATCCCAGTTTTGTTCTACAATAATACATGTAAGGTATGCATTACAATTGAAGGAAAATTTTATACAATCACTTGTATTAATTGATTTTGGAAACAGTATAATTCTTTCTACGTACAATATTAAAATCATGAATGAACCGGCCTTGACGTCCACCACGGAAATCTGGCACATCAATTTTTTCATAATTCTCATTTACCAAATCAATTTCGAATCGCTCCTTGAAGGTGGTTTTCCTATTATCAGAATCCACATTTTTCTCATTATCAATCACCTCCTGTGCTTCTGAGGCTCTTTTCAGGCTTTTAAACAAGTCTGAATCTGCTAACAACCCTTGATGAATGCCATTATTGTTACTCGGTGCTTTGTTCGAACTATCATACGGAATACTATACCATCCTGTTCTAAATCTGTGCATTTGTGTGCGAGCATATTGCCTGTATATATACAGACCACCGATAACACCAATTATGAGAATCATTAATGCAACAAGAAATAGCATAAATATTGCAGTGACATGCATACGATGTATGATCCTTCTGGAGACAAAATAATGTCCCCCCACATTAGTTTTCTGACGTTGTGCTTCTGGATCTCTCTTTGTGTCTTCCTGTTGGAGAATATACATTTGTTTATTGGAGCATGAGCTCTTTATGTCCATCCTAATTTAGATATGTTGAGTATGCCAGATATACATTGAAATATTTTAAGTGTCGGTAAAGGAGCTGAAATGCAGCAAACCATGTTCTGTGACATCATATTCAGTCTACTTCCCCTTTGCATTAATAAAGCCTTAAAGTTAACTGTATGATTTTGGTACAAAACATTATAAAATAGATCATAGGCTTACATAAATTTGAAGTTTGAGGAAATATGTTCTATTTCAGACATTGTAACAAGCATTATACAGGCAAGTGTAATGAATGCATAATGTTAACATTGAGTCAGCATTTCCATTGAGCAATAGTAGGAAACCTTCTAATGTCCAGTAGCTTGTCTTGCAATGCAAAACATGTTTCAATAAACATAGACACACGCAGATGAAATCTTATTATAAAGGGTTTATAACTCAATAAACACTTAATAGATCTTGTGAACAATATGTTCTTCTATGTAAAAATCAGTTATTGAACCATTAAGAACAACTGATTACAATACAAGCCTTTAGGTAATGATATATCTTAGTTTATAAGCAATTCTTTCTTACAAATGCCCAAAATTGTCATGTTTCACAACAGATAAATGACAGAATATGCGACATAATGTTTTAAGGTATTTTTACCTTATTGTTGCTCTCCAATAAACCTATGAAACAGAACCTTATACATGCAAAATTACTACCAAAAGAAAACAAGTTAGATTTGATGTTATAGGACACATTTTGTTCCATTACAACTTCTTTAAATATTCCTTAAAATATTTCAGTGTATATCTGGAATACAGATATAATTTAAATAAAATCTTTAGATACAAGTTGAATAATCTTTAATTATTTTATATCATAATGAATGCCATTTAAGCCATTTAAGAATATTCACTTTTCAATATTATTATGTATATGTAACACTGATTATTTAATTACAATTTTTATTCAGTATATCAAACTCTACACTACTATATATAAGCAATACTCGCAAATGTGATGTATACATTCCAAATATAATAATAACATTTAGTGACTACAAGTACAAATACATTTTGATTGCTATTATCAAATGATATGCTATGTATACAGTTTTCACGAACTAAAGATACTACTGCGTGTATAATGAATTTATTTAGGATACACAGAATCTGGTAAAATTGACAACTTAAATAGTTTAAATGGTCGAAAATGAAATGTTTATTTACGAAAAACATTGATCGTCGATCTGCGAAATGTGAAAGTGCATCGTGAATTCTTGTTTTTAAAAATGTACTAGTATATATAAAAAAAAAGTTTTAGAAATGAAGGGATAATATTGACCGTTCCGTTCTCTTCGACAAACAACGGTTGATCCATTTTGTCCGTCTTTTTCTCGGTAATGGCCTTTGTGATGACTGTCATCCTGGTGGATGTTTTGAACTCCTCTCCCAATTTAAATATCAATACACCTTCTCTACGATATTCAGCTACGCGTATTTGATCGTTTAATTATAATTAACGATCGCTACGCTTCAACGAACGTTAATGCAAAATAACAGTACGCACGTAGCTTAAGTATACCACAGAACTCACAGAACTTCAGGATAAACTGCATACATACAAATGCAACAGAGATTGATCGGTGACAACCGCGCCCTCAATGCACTAATAAATACTGTTTGCGCGTGCGTCGACATTGATGGAAAAGATGGTCGAATATTTCTCAGTCGATTAGATGCATGTATGTAAGTGTGTATATTCATTTTGTTATCGTACACACATATAAACGCATCGTGTTACAGGAAGCACGATACCCTGATGTTATTATTGTTGCTTAAAATTTTCCTCTTATCTTTACATCCTACATGATAGAACAAAATGCAGAATACTGTTAAGGGTACTGATTCAAAAAATCTAAGGGAACATGAAAAATCATTTCGAAAGGAAGAAATGGCAAGTAAGAGCCTAGAACTTGGCCATGAAGAATTAGTGAAATTAACGGAAGAAGCAATTGACAATATAATCGACAGCGATCCGCTCCTTCATGGCTTGCCAGCGAACGTTACAATTGAAGAACTTAAGGCCCAAATGGCGGTTGCGCAAGGGCAAGCAATAACTGTATATTTAAATCGCGGAGAATTACCGAAACTTGGAATTGTGGTAATGCATTTAATACGATTTTGTCAGTTTCAAGTAAAAAGTTGTGATAATATTTCACTTGTTTTCTTTAAATTCAGGTACCACCTCACAACACTACAGTATTGGATCTTAAAAAAGCTATAAAACGACATACAACTTTGTCGTTGAATAGAGAGAATATAAAAAAAAAAATAAGTTGGAAACATGTTTGGAAAAAGTACCACTTGTGTTTTGAAAGTGTAAAATTAGTGGACGACAAAGAAAACATTAAAACTTATGGAATTACAAATAAAGCAGAGCTGCATTATGTAAAGAGACGCAGGGAAAAAAATAAATTGATTAGGAATACCTAGTTTTTAAAAAAGTAATATATAAATGTTCATAATATAAAGGACTTATATTTCATAGAATATGCTACAATACTTTCTGAAATTATTTTTAGCTCCTATTGTTCATTTTATTCGTCTGGTAGAAGTTTCTTCTCTGGTTCTCGTATTTCACATTTTAAATATGAGTTTATATCTTCTAGCATAACACAAGTCAATTCAAATGCTGCAGTGTGATAAAAATTTGTTATTATTAATTTCTTCAAATTTGGTAGTTTATATAATGCTTCTAATCCCCTTTCTGTCACATTTATGCATTCTGATACATCCAGATATTCTAAAGCTGGGAACTCTGCAACTATTTTGTCCATTGCCCAATCATTAATGGTTTTACACCCTCTGAGACTCATCCACCGCAGTTGGAAAAGATTGCATATGGTATCAATGGTTTCAAATTGTATAGGAAATCCTTTTAAGTCTATTGCTTCTACAACAAACTGAGGATCATAAATAGTTGGTAATTGAGGAGGTTTTCCTTTTTCTATTTCTATCCAATCCTGATTGTAGAACTTTACTCTTCCACCACGTTTTAGGACGCACTTGGCACTTGCCAAATCAGAACCCAACTTCAAGTTTTCCTTATACATCCTGTTTTGAGCATATGTTATATATTTTTTTTTCAAGTATTCCAACCAATGCTTTGTATGGAATGTAAAAAAATTATGCATTTGAGGTACTTCTGTGGAAAAGAATACAAGACTAGTGTCCGTGTAGGTTGTATCATCCATTTTTTTCTTTTCCTTATATACTATATTAGCAGGATTGGTACGTTTTGTGCGTAAATTTTGTAACAGAAAACTGATAGCTCCTCTGTCATTATAAAACCCTCGTACGATATTGATATATAATTTTTGATGAAAGGTTGTGTAGTCTAAGATCTTAGTAACACTAAGAGTAGAACGCAAAACTAACATTTCTGCTGTAGAAGTTTTTTGTGCCACTTTTCACAAAAATTCTCTTTTACTTAGATATGTGAATTAATTTAATTAAAAATGAAACATTCTGCAATCAACTTAAAACGGAACATGTGTAAAGTTGATTCCAACTATGTCAGAAACAATGCTTTCAATAATGTTTCAAGTTGTTAGGCAATTTTTTCAGAAGTGTGACATGCACATGGTAACTTTATACTGTTTTATACACAAACTGGAGTTTGTCCGGTTCACCTGGTTCACCCCGTTCACCCCAGTTCACCCATTCGCCATAGTCAAACCACAGATCAGATATAAGAATAGACTGGAATAGACTGATCTCAGGTCTATGTTACCGTTGAACTGAATAGGTTCTTGTATATGCTAGCGTGGAACCACCGACTAGGTATAGAATAGACCTATCATCCAATGCTTTTTTCTGTCCCATGTTCATAGGGCTACGTAGCCCTGTTACCATTTTAGTGTCAATATCCGACGTTACCGATAAAGCATGAATTCTGAGTATTGTTAGCACAAATGAAGTGTTATATATTCCATTCATATTACGTGTATCTATATGAATTCACGAGAATAAAAATATCCGATGCTTCAGTTTAAGGTTAAGGGATAAATATGACAGTCATGAAACAT